CCCTGCCCCAGCTGAGATCAGGGCCCCGTTGTGCCGGGCGCTGCACAGACACAGTGAGAGACAGACCCTGCCCCAGCTGAGATCAGGGCCCCGTTGTGCCGGGCGCTGCACAGACACAGTGAGAGACAGACCCTGCCCCAGCTGAGATCAGGGCCCCGTTGTGCCGGGTGCTGCACAGACACAGCAAGAGACAGACCCTGTCCCAGCTGAGATCAGGGCCCCGTTGGGCCGGGCGCTGCACAGACACAGCGAGAGACAGTCCCTGTGCCAAAGGGGTTACAATTTCAGTAGACACAGGGTAGGTTTAAGGGGGTGTAACACACAAGCAAAGCGAACCATCGGTGTGAGGCAGGTTAGCTGCAGCACGGTTTACTTCACAGGGCATTAGCTAGCTGAATCAGCTAGGGCACGGGGAGGGGCAAGGAGGCCAGGACAGGAGAGTTATGGGGGGCAGGTGTGGGGTGAGGCTGAGGTGAAGCAGCTGTGGGCCAGGGCCCCAGATGGGGTTCCTGCCAGCAGCCAATCAACCCTCGCGGAGAAAGAGAAATCAGCCAACCAAGCCCCGCTCGCTATTTCGGTCTCCCCCTGATCAGTTTCACTGCCCCTCTCTGAACTCCTCAGACTCTGGCTGCTGCGACCAGCTGTTTCACTGGGGACTCCTCGGTGCGGCGGAGCGCAGGGTCTCAGGTGAGGACTCCCGGGAGCCAGGGCCTGCTACAACCCCAGACCACCGTCCAGGTACGGCTTCTCCAGAAAGCTGGTTGCACCCCGACACGGGCGAATGAATTTGCCTTTTCCGCCACGAGCCTCGGTCGAATCAATTTGATCCAGTCCCCGGCCGTCTAGCGGCCTTTGGAGAAAGCGTCGCGTGTTTCGCAGCTCGAACTGGCTGGGATGTGGGTTTAGTTTGTGTGGCTGGTGCAAGGATGTTTGTGCTGGCACAGAATCGCCCTTAGACTGAGCGGATTGTTTTCAATTAAGTCCTGAGTCTAAGCTCATTTGTATCACTTGATTAGTCCCAGTGGGAATTCTCACACGCTTGCAGCGACGGGCGTGTCCGCGAGATCAGGTTATGAGAGAGAGAAAAAACATTTCTCTGCTTTTATTCTCCTGCATGGAGCAGCATTTTGTGTACAATCGGTCACAATTTCTCCGCTCCAGTTTAGTAATAGAGATGCAGCCGTGTTAGTCTGGTGTAGCTGAAACAAAAGCCAGGACGATGCAGCACTTTAAAGACTCACAAGATGGTTTATTAGGTGATGAGCTTTCGTGGGCCAGACCCACTTCCTCCAGTTTTAGTGTCCTGTGCGCGGGTCCCTCCTCCCCAGAGCAGTGGGGCGGGAGAAAAACCTGTACGAGAGTAAAGAGCCTGCAAACCGATCAATAGCAGGACAGCACCAAGGCGGATGCAAAAGCAGGAACGGCAGGAACAGCTGTTGACTCCTACTTTGAAACAAACTAGATTTCACGCTGAGTGTAAACCCTAAAGCTCCGTCTTCACTATGAGTTTTCTCTGCAAAAATTATGCTAATGAGGGTCTCATTTGCATGAGTGGCAATCTCATTTGCATATTGTCTTTCACCTTATCCTTGGTGGAGATGAGCCCCATCCAGCCTGGTTTGATTAGCGCTGAGGTCACACGCCCATCTCTGTACCGCTGCCTCAGGGAATATCTCTGCCCGTCCGTGCTCGGTTTGATTCCTCTTCACCCCCTCTCCTCCTTCCCACAGGGCCGGGGGTAAATCGACACACACAAGGAAGGTTCACAGTCGGCCAGCTCTGTCAGGAGCCATGGCAACGCCGGACTATGCTGACCACCGGCACGGTCCCGCGACTTGCTCTCTCTGCCAGGGGCGCTGTCGAGAACCAGTGATCAGATCCTGCGGGCACCGCTTCTGCCCGGCCTGCGTCCACCGGCCCCGGAGGGACGTGACAGAGCAAATCCCCTGTCCTTGGTGCAAGGAAGATTTTCAGGGGGGGAAATCCAGCAGCCACGATTCCTGTTCGAGGACCCGGGTGCGTGGCCGGAGAGGGTGTGTGCGAACCACAAAGAAGAGCTAAACTTCTTCTGCGTGGAGGATCAAACCTTCATTTGCCGGGTCTGCAGGGCGAGCCGGAGTCATCAACCCCACACGGTGCTTCCCAGAAGGGAGGCTGAAACCGACATGAGCCAGGTAAGAAACTGCAAATTCGATAATTGTTACGTGCACTGGAGCAGCTCCCAGATGCCGTAGCTGAGATCAGGTCCAATAGTGCCGGGCGCTGCACAGACACAGCGAGAGACAGTCCCTGCCCCAAACAACTTGCAGGGCGGGACAAGGCAAACAATGGAAAACGCACCATCCTTAGAGCAAACTGAAATATTTTTGAACAAAATAAGTTGTGGGAAAATGGCCACTTTTAATTTTTTTTATTTGATTGTTTAATAAATGTCAGTGAAACTGGGATCAAAACATTGAACTTCTCCTGCGTTTTCCCACTGCCCTGGGGAGTTTCACTACGTCTAAAGCGCGACCTGCGTTGCTGTCACACGGCTGGGCCACATGGTGGATAACAGCCTACTACCTCTGTCGCTTGATGGAGTTACCTCTAAGGCACAAGCTGTAGTGGTCACAGCCTGAGCCAAGAGCTCTGATGTCGGGCCCACACACACACACTTTGAATATCAGTGACAAATATAAGTGAGCTATGAATCCGGCCGGCCAAGCCTTTTCCTTCACCCTCTACTCGCTCCCAAGTCCCATGTGCTGGACTGACAAGAAACAGTTGTTCTGCAGGGGGGTGAGTTACAACAGTTGGTGGCCTCTTCCGGTGTGAGCCGCCTCTTGCTACTAGAGGTGTCGGGAACACAGGGTAAGGGGCTGTTGCTTTTTCTTCTAGGACCTCCGGCGCACCTGGGGCGGGTAAGTGGCTCCGGCTGTCTGCTTCCTCTTGTGCTTTGTGATGCTAGGAAGGGTTCAGGGAAACAGGTGTGAGCCCAAAGGGTAAGTCCGCACCGTCAGGGCCCCACTCGGCTGACGGCGGCTCCCCCGGCAGGTTGGTAATAGCGACGAGAACTCCCCTGCTCGGGCTGGAGACGGATTCCGGCCCCGGGCCAAGTTTCCTTTGCTGCTTTGTTTGTCGTGCGGGTTCTGCAGCTGCCGGGAGGCGCTAGCTGTCCTCGCTGTCTGAGGCTACGTCTACACTACGCGTTTTCTCTCGGCAAAAAATATGCGAATGAGGGACTCGTTTTGCATGCATCATGATCTCATTTGCATATTGTCTGCCGAGCTGTTTCTGTGCTCGGGGTGTTTGCGCAAAAACAAGCGATGTGGACAGTTTCTTTTTGCACAAAAACCCCCTTTTTCTGTAAGATCCTTGTGCGCCAAAAAAGGAGGTACACCGGTCTTGCGGGAAAAGGGGTTTTTTGTGCAAAACCCCCTTTTTCCGCAAGATCCATACTCCCCAAAAAAGGGTTTTTATGCAAAAAGAAACTGTCCACACAGCTTGTTTTTGTGCAAAAACGCTCCGGCACAAAAACGAATCGGCAGAGAATATGCAAATGAGATGGCGACACATGCAAATGAGTCCCTCATTAGCATATTCTTTGCTGAGAAAACTCGCCGTGTAGACGTAGCCTGAATCTGTCTCTGGCTGCTGCGTTAGCTCCTGCCTTGTCCCAGGCTCCTTGAACCCCCTTGGCCTGACTGCCTGTGTCGTGGGCTACAGCAGGGGCAGGCCTTGGGCAGTCTGTCCGGTGTTTGCGGCTCTCCCTCCTGCCGAAAGGGGCTTCATTGCTCCTGTTGAGACAGAAATAGGGGGCTGAGTCATAACTGGCCAATAACTTGCAAGGCCAGCCAGCTGTTGACGTTGGATGAGGACTCAGTTGATGGCCCACATAGCCAGTAATAATAAATCCCACCCCCCCTTGCCCCTCCCCCATTCTCCCCCCTTCCCACCCGGAGAGGGCCCGGCCGGCGGCTTCAGTGGATTCTTGTGTTTCTGTAGCTGGGAGAAGTTTCCAAGCTCAAAGCCAACTTCTGCTGCGAGCAGACACGTACACATGGAGGAGCTGGCGGCAGACGGTGATCTAGCTGGACTCAAAGGTAACGGGAAATGATTGTTTGGGGCAGAGGGTTTCTTCTTCAGAATGCGTGGATCTGCATCTTTCTGCAGGGCCTCATGGGAGTTGTAGTTCCCGCGTGCCCTCATTTTCCCCCAGGGGCTGGGCTCCCGGGCTGGACTACATCTCCCATGATGCACCCATGGTAACGTGACTCCTGTGATGCATCATCCAATAGGAAGAGCCTGGTGCATCATGGGATGTGCGCATACCGGGGGTATGGAGGAAGGCAGGGCCACCCGGCCAAAACGCTTCCAGGAATACGTGGTGCTTTTCATTGGTGGGGCGCAAAGGGCTTGACACAGGAAATTGGTCCCGTTTTGCAGAGGGGAAACTGAGGCAAGGATGGGCGTGAAATGGCTCAGGGATGGGAAAATGCAGGCCAGTGCCCGCCAAGGTCTGTCCACACCTGGGCTCTCACTTTGCCCCCAAGAGATTTTAAAAGGCTTTCCCCTCCCCCATTGCAGATGCACCGTCTTTCTCCAGGGTCCAGACGTTCATGGCGTGGTTGGTCCTGTTCCTTTTCCTGATTGCCATCGGCGGCTTGAGCGCCACCATCTTTGCTTTTGCACGTGAGTGGGAAGGGCCCAGGACTCGGCTATACAGTCTGTCCTCCCGGCTCTCTTTTCCCTTTCCCAGGCAAGACCAGACCCCATCCCCTTTGAGCTATTCCTGATGGAAATGGGCAGCTTCCTAGTTGGCCATTCCCTTTCTTAGAGGGGAGATCCCTACTAGCGTAGACAACTGAGAATGTCGTCTTATATGGAATCACTTTCTCAAATGGGGGGGGGGATTATGAAAAGAAAACTGATGCAAGCTACAGCCCCCAAATAGACATCTACACAACTCGCACTCCAACTTTTGTTCCCCCTTGGTCAACAAGAGAAGCAATCGCAAGTGTAAAAAATCAAGACTGGGGATATCTGGGACAGTCTGGGTATACTTGACTCTGCCCCAGCAGACTTGATGCCCTCTCATTGTCCCAGCCCAACATTTCGACAATTACAGCAGTCTCTCCCTGGTGCCAGTGGGAAATTTACCTGCCATTCTCGTGGCACCAGGACGACACCCCAGTGAGGGGGAAGCCTTCATGTGGTGTTATAACTTATTACCAGGAGCAGCCGTCAAACCTGATGGGGCTGATCCAAGACCATCCGCAGCCTCCTGTTGTCCAGAAGGCTGGATCGGTGCCGGAGGAAACTGCTACTACTTTTCTGAAGACGAAAGGAACTGGGAAACCAGTCAGAATTATTGCTCTGTGCACGCCGCCTCTCTGGCTGCGAACGATAGCTTAGAGACTCTGGTAAGACAGAACCATCTATACGTGTTGATTCAGTGATACCACATGGGGGAGAGTAGGAGGTATGGGTATGAGACCAGGAAAAATAATGTGGATGAAACTGCTACTACTTTTCTGAAGACGAAAGGAACTGGGAAACCAGTCAGAATTATTGCTCTGTGCACGCCGCCTCTCTGGCTGCGAACGATAGCTTAGAGACTCTGGTAAGACAGAACCATCTATACGTGTTGATTCAGTGATACCACATGGGGGAGAGTAGGAGGTATGGGTATGAGACCAGGAAAAATAATGTGGTCGCAAGCCCCGCCCCCAATGCAAGCCCCGCCCCAATGCAAGCCCCGCCCCCACATGACACCAAGTGTCCCTCTGTCACAGAAATCATGAGATGAGGCTTAAAAACCGTGGTACTCAGCCACATTTCAAAGCTTTCCTCCGCAAACACAGAGCTGGCAACGTTTTACATGTTTAACGGGAGGCAGAGAATTTTATCTAGTCCCAGGACTTACGAGCTGGGGTTTCAGGACTACACACCGAGTCTAACGATGAAATCATAAGAGAGGGCAACTCCAGATGGGGTTAAACATCCAGATGTTGTCATTAGGGTTCAGAGTCAACACCCAGCGGCAATTAGCAGGGCGTGTGCCATCGTGTTAAATGATTGGCTTGGGCTCTCTGCAGACTCAGGCAGGAGTGGCTGTATCATTTACAATCAGTTCTCATTTTCAACCATGTGGGATAGAGCATCTCAATTCTCTGACTCTATTAGTTCTATTATAGTCAGCCTAGAAGTTAGTCAGAGATCAGGGCACATTGATATATGGAACCACAATCCATTTTAAATGTGTGGGGAATTATTAAAAGAAAACAGATGCAAACTATAGACCCAAACAGACTTCTACAGAGCTCGTGCTCCAACTTTGCCTCTTTTGTTAACCAAGGAACCCCACCCTGTGATTCTGTGAAGATCCCAGCGATATCTACTGGCTGTATGAGATACTTGTATAGACATGTCACAAAGGAGCCAGCCAATGCTTCCCTGAAGAGTTTGTAATCTAAGATTTGGAAGCACAAAATAGCAGCCCTTCCTCCCCACTCTCTGCCTGCCACGGGCAGGCTCAGTGACCTAGTTCCAGGCATGGGACTTTAAGCTACAGCTGATATCCCCAATTCAGCTCCTGTAGGGCAGCCCCGGATGGGAGGTGGGTGAGATGCAGCTAATGCAGGTTGGTTTCACCATTTAGTCTCAGGGTTAGGCCAATAACCTGGGCTCGATTCCTAGCTCATCTGCAGACCTTTGTGGTCACCTGGAGAATATTTAGGAGCCCAGCTCCCATGGACGGACCTGGTGGCCTCCAACGGAACTGCATGGTAGACCCCCACGGCTTCATACACGCCATAAACGGGCAGGGGAGAGGGATATGTATGATGTGATTTCCCTTTGCATTATTCAGAATATCACATTGCACCGTAAAGGGCCCTCCAATCACTGGGTTGGACTCCGGAGGGAACCGGGCCAGCCCTGGAGATGGGTGGATGGCGCTGCATTCAACCACCCGTGAGTCCTCTTCTTTCTGATTGCACACGAAGGGCAGGATTAAGGGGATTACGTCGTGATAGAAGACAACTATGGTCAGAGCCCCACCCACTACTTGGGAGCATTAGGAAAGCCTCGTTCCCAGAGATGTAGCTGCCCCCTTTCTGGCACCTCCAGAAGTGGCCGCAGAGGCCTGTCTACTCCCAGAGTGGTATTGGTGGCAGAGGTGGGATACCTTGCCCAACAGCAGGGTCTACTGTTCTCCTCATTCCTGCCCCACAGCACCCCCTGCTGGGTTGGGGTTGCTATGGACTGTCACTCACTAGCAGGGGTGCAACATCCCATGTCTGGGCAGTGTTGTAAGTCATGACTGGGAGAGGACGGCAGGCAACGTTTCCCCGTCTCCCAAGGCCAGTTCCTGGAACGGGAACACCGCTGTCTAGTGGCACTTAGGAATGTGTCCCAGGGTTCGTATAACCCAAGCACTCGTGAGAGACTCGGGGGGGATTCTGCACATCCATCCGCCTGGCATGGTTTTGCATTTCCCTGCTTAAAAAAACCTTTGGCCTAAATGCTGCAGTTCCGACTCTGCCCACCAGGGGCTGCTGTGGCATCAAACCAGCCCCTGCAGTGCCCCCTAGTGGGCGAGGGTGGAATGGCAGCTTGTCCACGGCACCACGTTTGTGATGGGGGCAACTATTACATTTTCTGCCCGGTGCTGCAGAAGTGCCCAGGGGCAGAACCCAGCCCAGCCCCTTAGGCAAGAACCGTGGGGCAGATGGAGCTACTGGGGGGCACAGAGTTGGGGTGAAAATGGCTAGTGGGGGAAACTGGGGGCTAGGACCAGCCCCCCTCTTTCCATCTGAAGTCCTGCCCCTTTTGGGGGCCTGGCAAGTCTGTCCGTCCCCCTGCATCTACCCCACGCTCTCCAGGTTCACACCCGGGTTCCTTTTTTCTCTCCCTCTGCTCCTCATTCTATCCATGGGTGCCTCTTCTGGATAGATTAACCAGCCCCCTTGAGCCCCACAGCTTTGCGATCCGGGGGGCCGGACTGTGCGCTTACCTGGCGGACGGTGTTGTGAGCAGCGCGGGGTGCGACACGGAGAGGAAATGGGCCTGCAGCAAGCCGCACGGACGGATAGGCGCGTCGCCGGAAGACGCCGAGTGTTAAGAGCCCTCAACCTGCAGCCTTACACGACAGCTCCCGGCAGGAACCGGACTGGACCACACCAGAGCAGGTCTCCTCCAAGCGTCACCCTCGCATGCGGGGAGGCCTGTAGTACCGCTGGGTCCCAAAGCCCACGGCTAACATTGGACGGCATGCAAGGATCTGAATTTTAACACAAGCGGACCGTGTCCCCAACACAGCAAACGCACGTGAGACACCCTCCAAGAGCCACGCTAGGCCCAGAGATCGGTCGGAGATGGGGAAACGAATCTGTTTGGCTTTGAAACCGACGAGCGGGTCTGTGGCGCCTTAAAAACGAATCACTAGCTGGGACCAGGAGCTTTGGTGAGCAACGCCCACTTCCTCAGAGGTACTGGCGTGGAAAGAACAGAAGCAAGATGGCTATAACAGAGGGGAAAGCTACCTGTCAATTGTAGGACGATGCTAATGAGGCTAATTGGGTGAGCTGGAAGTGTCCCAGTCTTTGTGTTTGTTGTAAAAAATGCGGCGGTTGGAGGTAGGGGAGAGACTGGCTTTATAATGCGCCATCCAGTTAAAGTCTTTGTGCAAACCCAGGGAAACTGTGTCACATTTGTTGATCAGTGTCAATTTCGCACTCTTGTGAAATTCCTTGAGAAGAACGGCTCCTTGTAAACCCGTGATCGAGTGCCCCGGCGGGTTAAAATGTTCCGGGCTGTGCCGGTTACGCAGACTGATAGGTTTTTCTGCGGCCACGTATAATGCGCCATCCAGTTAAAGTCTTTGTGCAAACCCAGGGAAACTGTGTCACATTTGTTGATCAGTGTCAATTTCGCACTCTTGTGAAATTCCTTGAGAAGAACGGCTCCTTGTAAACCCGTGATCGAGTGCCCCGGCGGGTTAAAATGTTCCGGGCTGTGCCGGTTACGCAGACTGATAGGTTTTTCTGCGGCCACGAGAGAGGGAAAGCTGTGGCCGGGGAGGGGGGGGGGGGG